ATATATATATATATAAATATGGCCCTTTTTCTTTGCTTTTCTTCTTGGTTAGAGGGCCAAAGCCTCAGCTATTCTTTAACATCATATGCAGCTCTCTTTATGCTGAAACATTAGCTTTGTTCTATCTTTTCTTTTCCTTTTCTCTTTAATTTTTTTTTGCTTTGTTGTATTGCCTTTTATAAATATTTAAAATGAATGTTATTTTTCTCTTATTGTCGGATATTGTCGCAAGGCAATAGTGTTGTTCTTATGATTTCCAATTCGAATAGTAATTTAGTACCCGTGTATAGCGTGTTTGTATGTATGTATATATATATATGTGTGTGTATATGCATGCATGCTGACAAGGGTTTGGGGGTTAAAGATGCATCTTTTCAGCAATGATCCTCATGCAAGTGAAGGGAAGAGAAACGACTTATTGATGGCAACAAAGGGAAGAGAAAATGCCCCCAAGAAGCCGCGCGTGGAACCACGCTCCCCTTGCCCACCCCTCAAGGTGTGCTAGTTTTAAACCCTAAACTCAAGATGCAAACATACTAATTAATAAATAATAATTACATATTCGGAAAATAATTAATGTTTTCTCCTTTTCAATGAGGATAAAATGTTAAATATTTAGTCTAAAAATATAACCAAGTATATAAAGGTTTAGCATATGAAGTTTCATTTTCTCAAAAACAAATGTTGAATATACATGCTCGTTGTTTACTCGATTTAGGGTTTTATTTCATATTTCTTGCACGTGTTTGATTGTTTTTTATTTACAATTTTCAATATTCTAAAAGAAATTTCGCCTCATAATTCCAAAACCCTTCCAAAATTCTCGAGTATGAACACATACAATATCAATGAGGTTTATAAATTAACATTTTGGAAGAAAAAAAGTTAATTTTTAATTTTCGTTAATTTTTCTATTTTTCTGACGTGACACGTAGAAAATTTTAAAAACATATAAAATTCGTATATATTTTTTTCTTCTAAAATCTCAATCTATGGATTTGTTGATGGTCTTTAGAAATTTAGTTCGTATGGATGTGAATGTGTAATATTAAAACAATAATTTTCTTATTCCAGATTATTGTTTATAATTGTATTTTAGGTTTCAAATATATATATTTATCAACAGTTGATAAAACAGGTAAGGAAAGAAAAGTTAGGAGACAGAATATCAGCTCTCCAGCAGTTGGTTTCACCCTTTGGCAAGGTAATTAAGGCCTTGAATTGTTGGAATTTTTAGAATCTAAAAACCAAAAAAATCATCATTCAAGTTTTCACAAAATTATTTTTTCTAAAAACTTGGAAAGCCATTTTAGTGGAAAAATTAAAGAAAAATCAAAAGCTACTTTTTTTTAGTTTTCAAATATTATAGAATCTAAAAGCCAAAAACCAAAATCCAAAAACTAAAACTAAAAACCCAAAATAAAACTCATCCCCATTCAAAGCCTAATTATTTTATCAAGTTTTATTATTTAATCCAATTTTAACTTAACTAATCCTTGGGATTTTATCCTTAACTGCCAGGATCACATTTCTTGTAAGTTTGGATGGTTTTTGTTCGTGATATCCCGCTATATATAATTTTCAGAAAAATAAGGATATTTTCTGTTAATTAGATTGCTTTATATATAAAATGCAGACAGATACAGCATCTGTACTGATGGAGGCAATCGGATACATCAAGTTCCTACAGAACCAGATCGAGGTAATCTGAATGCATGCATGCATGCCATGCCATACGGAGATACATATATATATATACACATATAGAGTATACGTCTTTTACTTGCCGACATTCTTCTAGGTTCTCGTTTCTTTGGAGATATCATAAAGTTTGAGGAATAATTGATAATTAGACTTGCCTATGCAGACGTTTATATATATATTGAATTAAATTCTGTGCACTAGATTATAAAATCATTTATTTAATTAATAAGTTCCATAGGTTCTACCTTGTTATCCTAACCTGCCTTTAAAAAAATAAATTTTATTAGATTTATTTATAATATCTTCTCTAAAGCACTAAATTTTATTTATATTCAAATAAGCGTTTTCATAGGAAATCAGTGATGGGCTAAAATTAGTTATAAATCCACACACACATGCATATATCTATATATATATATATATAACACAAAATTAATTATCAATATATAATTCGGTTAAGTAATAAAATTAGTCAAGGTATTAACACTTTGTTGCTCGGTTGCAGACCCTAAGCGTTCCCTACATGAGAGCATCTAGAAACAGGGAAGGGAAATCATCCCAAGGGGTAATCATGAAAAACGTACATATAAACTAATGCATGTGTTCATTTCATTCATTAATTTAGTCTAAATCGTAATTAAACCCTTTTTTGCTTATCTTTAAATTATGTTAATTTAATTCTCTAATTTGTTTTTTTTCTAGGGTTCTGTATCTCATGAAAGGAGTGAAGAACCAAAAATGAATCTAAGAAGCCTAGGACTATGCCTTGTGCCATTGTCATGCATGTCTTATGTCACCGGAGAAGGCTAATCAACTGTTAGGATTAAGCTAACTTTATTAAAGATGTAAATATATATATATATATATATATGTATATGAATTTCTAGAATATTTTATGAACAACAAGTATTCACTATCATCAAATATTATGATGACAAAGCTACGAGTAGATCATTGAATTTGAATTGTTTGAGTTGGCCATACGAATGTAATTTAAAATCTACTTTCCTTTTCTATATATATGACAATTGTATTCGATCAATTCTTCAAATTAAATACTGACAAATGTAATCTAATCTTTATATGATTATATCTAAATTAGATTTCGAATCAGTTCTAAATTGAATATAATTAAATAATTTTTTTTTATCATTAAGACTGTCAAGTAGCATTTTCATATCCCTGAAATTAATCTATGATTTCGATGTAAAATATTCATTCAATTATTTAATTCATTTATTTCACAGCCAAGAATGTTAGTTTTCAAGGTCAATCACAATTTTAATGATAAAAGGTTATGAAACGTCATCGAATCTACAAAAGAGCATTTTCTAAGTAATTACTAATTAGAAAAATGGAAATTTTAATAAGAAAATAATCAAATTGGCGACATTTACTAATGCAATAATTTTGGACAAGCCCGGCGTTGACATTATATAACCCTGTATTATATATCTAATTTATTTTATTACTTGCTTATGTGGCTATACCTGGTCAAGTTACGGTATTCAAATTTTTGGACTACCCTGTTCCATTCTCGAATCTCGACCCTAAATAGATTGGGTTCTAAAATTTTTATTTTATCCGACCTTGAATTTGTCAACCGACGCTTATAGAGATGAAAAATTCAAATTTCAACGTCTCTTCAGCTATCTACAAATTATGATGTATGACGAACCAGAATTCGAAGATAGAATAATATCCAACTTGGTTCAAACGATAAAATGAAAATATAAAGCGTTTATTTATTTCGTTCTGAATGAACAAATCAAATTGGAGATGAGAGCGTAATTTCAAGTACATAGATTGATCCCGCCTCCGAAATTAGTTTAAATCTCCGTAAAAGATACCCAATTATAAAAAAAAAAAAAATATCGAATATTCTGTCTCATTGAAACATAACTCATCTGCCAACTAGTGAATATTTTTACGATTACTTCCAAATTATGAAAAAGTATACAAATCCATATCTGTTCAAAATTCGTCACCCATCTCAGACAATGTATGTGTATAGTTTATATATACTCTACAACCATTGACATCATTACAAGGAACTATTTCTCTTTCTCTTGTCGGTCAAGGAAACGAACATATCCGATTCAAAATCAAAGATCCTTGTGTGTGTATATATACACACATTTAATGTACCACAAATGATTGTAGTGGTAAACAGCAAGAAACATGAAGGGGAACAAAAACATTGTCTTCTTCTTCTTCTTCCTCGTCTTGTTTGTCTTTGTCTTCGTCTTATCTGCGGCAGTGAGCAGAGGGCAAAGGACGACAGCTGCAGTGAACGTTGGGATCGTGGCCGATGTGGGAACGACGTTCTCCGACATGAGTTTGTTCTGCATCAACATGTCTCTCTCGGACTTCTACTCTTCCCGTCCCGGGTTCCAGACAAGGCTTGTCGTTAACGTCGGCGATTCCAAAGACGACGTCATTGGTGCTGCAGCCGCCGGTAACAACCCCTTCTCAACTCTCTCTCTATCTCTTTCTCTCCCTCTCTCACTAGATGCATCTGCTTCAACGTTGGACAGCTCTTGAGCTGATAAAAAACAAGGAGGTGAAAGCGATTTTGGGGCCGTGGACTTCGATGCAGGCTCATTTTGTCATCGAGATCGGGCGAAAATCTCAGGTTCCGATCATTTCGTTTTCTGCGACAAGTCCGCTTCTTACTTCCATCCGCAGTCCATATTTCTTCCGGGCAACCTATGAGGACTCGTCTCAAGTCGAAGCCATAAGCGAGATCATCAAGTTGTTCGGGTGGAGAGAGGTAGTCCCCGTATACGTGGACAACACGTTCGGGGAAGGAATAATTCCCCATCTCACCGATGCATTACAAGGGATTAACGTCCGGATACCTTATCGGACCGTCATCTCTCCCAATGCAACGGATGACGAAATTTTTCGAGAGCTTTACAAGATGATGACTCTACCTACCAGGGTGTTCATCGTCCACATGTATCCATCTCTTGCCTCAAGAGTGTTTGTCAAGGCTAAAGAAATCGGTCTGATGAAGAAAGGATATACCTGGATCCTTACCACTGGGGTTGCAGATGTTCTGAGTACGTTGAACAGAAAGGTTGTCCGAATGATGCGAGGTGTGTTGGGTGTAAGGACGTATATTCCGAGATCCAAAGAACTCGAAAGGTTCAGAGCTCGATGGAGTAAGAGATTCCCGATTACAGATCTGAATATCTACGGTTTATGGGCTTATGATGCTGCCACCGCTCTGGCGATGGCCGTAGAAGAAGCTGGGACACCAAACTCGGGTTTTAGTAAGACGACCGACGCAAGACAAAACACGTCTGAGCTCAAAGCTCTTGGCGTGTCTCGATATGGTCCGAAGCTTCTCCAGACACTCTCTCGAGTGCAGTTCAAAGGGCTTTCCGGTGATTTCCGTTTTATCAACGGACACCTACAGCCGTCGGTGTTTGAGATCGTTAATGTGATTGGTAGCGGTGGAAAGAGGGTCGGGTTCTGGACAAAGGAAGGCGGAATTGTGAAAAAACTGGAGCAGAAGCCGGGGAGTACAAGCTCTTTTCTCGGACCAATCACTTGGCCCGGGGATACTACTTTCGTCCCCAAGGGATGGGAGATCCCGACAAACGGGAGAAAACTACAAATAGTAGTTCCAAAGAGAACAGGTTTTACTGAACTCGTGAAGGTCAAGAGAGATCCTATCACCAATGCACCAGAAGTTACAGGATTCTGCATCGATTTCTTCGAGGCTGTAACTCGAGCGATGCCATATGATGTCTCCTACGATTTGATTCCTTTCGAAACCCCCGACGGCAAATCAGCTGGTGACTACAATGAGATGGTTCGCCAAGTGTATCTTAAGGTGAGTTGAGACCATCCATATCATCTTTTCTGCCATAACATTCTCCTAGTATGATCTCTCCACTTTTCTCGTATGATTGCTCAGAAATTCGATGCTGCGGTGGGCGATACGACCATATTGGCGAACAGGTCCTTATACGTTGATTTCACATTACCGTACACAAAATCAGGCGTAGGATTGATCGTCCCGATGAAAGACCGGGTCAAAAGAAGCAGTGTCATTTTCTTGACACCTTTGACATGGAAACTCTGGGTAACCAGCCTTTCTTCTTTCTTCGCCATCGGCTTTGTCGTGTGGGTACTTGAACATAGAGTTAATCCAGACTTCAGGGGACCGGCTAATTACCAAGCGAGCACCATCCTCTGGTTCACCTTCTCCACCATGGTTTTCGCACCGAGTAAGTAGTGTATATGCACTTTTTTTCTTCTTGCGGGCTTCCATTGCATCGCCTACAGTTTGAAAATGTATTTTGCAGGAGAAAGAGTGTTCACCTTTTGGTCGAGGGTCGTGGTTATCACTTGGTACTTTGTAGTTCTTGTCCTAACTCAGAGTTACACTGCCAGTTTGGCATCGGTTTTAATGTCTCAACAACTCCACCCAACCGAGACAAGCATGAAGAACTTGCTCGGGAAAGGAGAACCGGTGGCATACCCTCAGGCTTCTTTCGTTTATGGAAAGCTAAAAGAATCGGGTTTCTCTGAATCTAACCTCAAACCCTTTGGTTCTGCTGAAGAATGTGAAGGCCTTCTGAGAGCAGGGCCAAGAAATGGCGGTGTTTCTGCAGCTTTCATGGAGATACCCTACATGAGGCTTTTTCTCGGGCAGTACTGTCACAAGTATAAAATGGTTGAACAACCATTCAACGTTGATGGATTCGGCTTTGTGAGATCCATCCCCTATAGTTCTGTTTGGATTTAACCCTTCATTCACCTGCAGTATTAAATCATAAAGTCCTATTTTGGCAGGTCTTTCCAATCGGATCACCTCTGGTGGCCGATGTCTCGAGGGCCATTCTGAAGGTGGCAGAGTCGAGCAAGGCGGCCGAGCTCGAGAGGGCATGGTTCAAGAACAAAGACGAAAGTTGCCCGGATCCAGTCACCGACCCAGATCCACATCCGTCTGAATCCTTTCGGCGGCTTGGCCTGGATAGCTTCTGGTTTCTGTTTGCAGGTGCTGCCTTTGTCTGCCTTGTGGCATTGTCGAAATTCTTTGTCTGTTTCTTGATGGAGAATCAAGAAATCCTGAAACAAAAGGACTCTCGACTCCGTAATTTGTGGAATAGATTCCACAAACGAGATGAGAATTCATACATCGGTGGCGTGGAGAAGTGTCAATGTTCATCAACCCTGACCTGGTCAAGGAAGCCAGCAGAAAATCGTAGACAGATCTTTCCTGAGATTGTCTGAATTTGTCAAAAGACGGTCTGAACAGACAAAAGCCTGGAGATTCTAACAGCCACCGTGCAACATGAACTACTCTGATTGACGAGTGATACTACCCTATTTGTAAACATTTTTATATAATACAAACTGTAAAGGATGCAAGTAGCTGATCCTACCAATATCAACAGTGATTCTAATCCAAGAATTTTCCGAAAAACACAGCAATCGGAGAAGAATCAATCCCAAGACAGAATTCTAAACCTAGGATTTCAGAGGCCGAGAACCGCGTACCCTTCGGCTGAGAATCTGATTTCCTCCTGCACGCCTCTTTTCCGCTTCTCGCCAGCTGCCTCCGAGATCCGAAAGACAAAACGCAAGAAGAACAACGAGGAATCTGCCGGTAAACGGGAAAAAAAAAACGCGCAAAGAAACAGAAGATTCGCTCAACACAGATCTGAAACACTGAGTTCTTGAAACGAAACTCGGTTTTCCGAAGAAACACTCGGCACAGACTCGATTCAACTCAGAACCGGAAAACTCCCTCACCGGCTTCTATCTACCAACGGGTATTAGTGAAAATATCTTCTCTCGGGCATTTGGTTTCACAATTTGGCAAGTAATTATTTTCTTATGTTTTATTATTTAATCCAATTTTAACTTAATTAATCCATACGATTTTATCCTTAACTGCTAGTATCACATTAATACTTGTCTTTTTGTAAGTTTGGATGGTTTTTGTTAGTGTCCGTATTGTATTCTGTTTCGGATCGGAGATGATTCGGTTCATTTCTTTTGGTTTTATAAAGATATATACCAATCAGATATTATATTATATTTTGGCTTTGGTTTTGTTTGATTTTGATTTTTATTAAAAAATTAGATGTTAATTTTTTTCAGAATTTTGGGTTTTTTTAAAATTCTATTCGGATCCATTTTTAAAATTTTGATTTTTCTAAAATCAACAAGTTCACAAAATTTAAATAATTGGATAAAAAAAATACCATATTTTTCGATTGGGTAAGATTTGATTCCTCCGAATGTCCATCTAATTTTTTTTACTTGTTTCAAACTTTTAGGGATACAAACAGGTTTGGGTCGGGCCACTCGACGAGCAACGGCTTGATATGGGTCGGTTCAACTGTGGCCCGTTTTTCGTGACCAGAACAAAATTTTTTTTTTTTATAATCAGGATGGTTCTCGTACTTTCCTTCGACCCGATTACATTCGTTATGTGTCCGGTTCCAGAACAAATTTTGACTCGTATATCAAATGAAAAAAAAATAATATTAAAAATAATAAAAATTATATATATACTCCTTCCGTTTCAAAATATTTGTAGTTTTAGGTTATTCTTCATGTTTCAAAATATTTGTCATTCTACGTTTTCAAAACATTTTTTTACAATAGTTTTCAATTTTATCCCTATTAAATTCCAATAAATTATTAATGATAACATTATTTTTATCATTAAATAAGGGTATATGTGACTTTTTATATCTTTTCTTAAAAACTGTAAAATAACTTAAAACAACAATTATTTTGAAACGGAGGGAGCTGGTCTATGAGGAGTAGCAAATTATCTTGAAGTTTGCGCAACGGTCGAGCTGGTCTATGAGGGGTTGTTAGGTCTTTTTCTTCGGGTTTATATTTTTTCAGCTCAGATCGATAAAAACGAACGAATTGGTTCGCGAGTGTAGCGGCTGCAACGTTCACGTTAGTTACTCTGCGTGTACTAGTGGTAGTTTATGTATTTACGTTACGTTATGTAATGTTTCTGTTTGTTCTCGTATCTCAGTTTACGTTTCTTTTTTCTTCTTCCATATTTAATGTGTCTACGTGTGCTCGTTCACTGTATTGCTTTTGGATATCACTGATTCTTTGGATTGCCTTTTATGTGGTTAATTACTCAGTCAGCACGATCCATCAATTAATTAATGCAGATTATTTCAAATCCATACTATTATTTATTGTAAAATTAAATGATAAGAATGAGTAAAGAAAAATGAAATTTGATAAAAAAAAAAAATTGTATTTTAAATCAAACGTTTTGGTTTTTTTATGAGATCTATCCATTTATTATGTCATCAATAATCGTTTTAAACAAAATAATCGATACACCACAAAATTAAATTAAAACTTTTAAAAAAAATGGAGAAATGAACCGTGGAAAACGAAACGGCACGAACACATTGACAAATTTTGCATTTTAATATTATTATTTCCCTTCAAATGCATCTGTTCATAAAATCCTCAAAAGAGTGACCTTTCCACTTAATTAACAGTCATGCGCAATTAATCTGCTTAAATATCGCTTTTTGTCACAAATCTCTTTATAAATAAAGTACCAAATAGACGAGAGAAAAAGAAAACATTACAAAAATTTCCAAGAAACGAGAAAAAAAATGAAGCTAACCAGACAAACCCTAATTTTCATATCTGTTCTTGTGACCTTAACATGTCAAAACCAAGCTACAACCGAATCTACAGCCGACATCATAGTTCCAAAGATCTCGGAATGGCAAGTCACTGTGGTCAACGGTCTGGTCGCCGACAAAAATCTGTACGTCCATTGCAGATCTAAGGAAGACGATTTGGGGGAGCGCAATCTGACGTCAGAAGAAAGTTTCACGTGGGGTTTCAGACAAAACATTATCCACACGACTTTGTTCTGGTGTTACATGAGCAAACACGATGTCCATGCGAAATTGAACGTGTTTTGGGACGACGTGATTCTATTTCATAGATGCGGATGGAAAACTTGTGTTTGGATCGCTAAAGACGACGGCGTTTATCTGAGAGATTTCGCGACGGGAGACGATTTGATCTCGACGAAATGGGAGGTTGGATTGTAAATAAATATATCGTGTTTTTGTTTTTAGGTTTTCGATTTTTTTTAATAACTTTCATATTTTGTAGTTATTGATCCTGTTTGTTTCTTTCAATATATGGATTGATAGTTTAATTTCATAGCTCTTTCAACATTAGCAATTCACCATAGTCTTAAGAAAAGTGTTTTTTTGTTTGTTTGAAATTCATATACAATTTCTGTATTACGAAATATAACGTTATAATATTAGTTAGAAACAAAAATAACATCATCTATATTTTTCGTAATACACAGGGAAATTACATTTCACGCCTCCTTAATTGGGCCAAGTAACATGGCCCTCGTTTTGGGTCCATAAATCTCTATTTTTTTCATTTGGGCCCATTGGGCCCATTAATCTTTATTCTTTTTTTATTCTTTTTTATTTAATATGATGAATCTAGAGAGAGACAGTCCATCTACAACAAATACAATAAGATTGCCAAACTCGTGAGATTACATAATCATATTTAATGCGTGAATATATTTGAATCTAAATGAAACAAACCGTCTACGATCATGAATCCTGAATTTCATTCAAGTATTCCGCTGTAATATCGTAATATTATCATTAAAAAAAATATTAATGTTAATTCCTTTTGCTTATGTTATATAATGAGATGGAGAAACATGACTCCACACAAGTTCACCAAAAAAACTGTACGGTTTATTTCGAAAAGTATCGAGCTATGATTTTGCTCAAGTACTTGTCTATATCTATCGGTTTACTCTTATTGGTACCGATGAACCGGTTTTCATACGCCAAAACCGAACCCGTAATGAAGTATTGGATCCATATCAAGAACAACTTACCGAAACATGATACCGATGTTCTTAAGGTACTGTCCCAATCCGATTTATTTTGTGATTAAGTTTCGGTCTTTATGCATTTCTTGATGGACCAAAACCAGAACTATGAATGCAATTCGAAACAAAGCTCTGGTCTACAATTGAACCGGAATCCGAATTAAAAAAAAAAAAAAAGAGATAGATCAACCTGTACACTAGTTTAAAACAAACCGGGTTTATTAGATTTTCTTAATTCTCGGTTCATGAAACTTTATCCTAACCGTTTAACCAGTTCTTGGTCCAATATTTTTGTTCAGGTTTTAGTTTTAACCGGTATAGAATTTTCTGATCAATTTTGGGTTAAGTAGGTGCAATGCTCATCTGCAAACCGGATGCTCAAACCGAGGCTGGTCGAACCGGGGCAAGAGTACGTGTTTTGGACAACGCAATACACTGAAGAGATATTTTGTCATTTCACTTGGACCAAACACAAACACACAACACGCGATTTCGTACGTTCTATCTTTTGGAATGACAAATCTTTCCTTCGATTATGCATCAATTTCAACTGCTTATGGTCCGTGCAACACCAAGATTTGTCCATGAATATCCCCTTCGTATAAGACATATACTCATATCTATATATATATATATATATACTTACACGCACTCGATTCGATGTAATGTTGTCCCGTTTAATTAAGAGCGAGCTGTGATATTTCTCCGAAGATATATGTTGTATTGTGTTTACATAATAAACTATTGTATTTAAAATTTGAAGTGATTATGAATGATCAACACCAGTCTTGTAACATTCTCGTAAAATTTTGTTTTACCCGAAATCGGTTGATCCACGAAGTACCCGTTTCATGGGAACTCTCACTGTCGGCTCACGGATCAACATCAATGTCGCATTCTTATAAGGATCACAACAAACGATTAATCTCAGTGACAAAAAAAAAATGCAAAATGCAAAATCGTTACCTCAAAGTCACAACTCATCTTCGCATTTCATCTTCTCTGTATAACAGCTCATTATCTTCTTATCCAATTCATAGTACGCCTCCATTTTCTCCAGCGGTTTCAGGCTTAGGTCGATGAAATGCACCTATCCACCAAATCGAAATCGTTTTTCTTTTTGTAATTTCCCCGGATACCCGATTCGTTTCTACACTATCATTTTCCTTTCATGCCATAAAAAGACGCATTTTCTGCAGAAATATTTAATCTCCATCCCAATCTACGGCATCAAAGATGGAAAGAGAATGAGAATTAGAAGAAGAACCGCACCTTGTAATCGAAAGTTTGCTTGGTTGACTGTAGATAGACGTCACTGCACGAGCGCGCAGAATCCAAGTCATCTCTTGATTGAAAACTGATCATAACACTGCAGTCCTTTGCGGTTGCAGCTATCAGATAGTCCTTCACAATCTTCAAGCTTTCATCCAGAGGTAAAGAATGCAGCGATGCATACAGCCCGTCTTGCTCGAGTTCTTTACATACAGAGCAAGGCTGAGAGATTACATCGTAGTAACAATGGATCGCCCCTTCGACATCCAAATTGTCGAGCTTCTGAACTTCGAGAAGCATATCTAGAACTCTCGAGCTGTAAACAGATTCGGACACTAGCTCTAGAAAGTACTTTGTGCGGAGCCCGTCATCTGCTTGGATGAAGCCCTTAAGTGCATCTTCAAAAGCGTCTCCGTATTCAGGGGTGGTTCTCCCAATACTTTCGCCCGATCCACCAAATAAGAGGGCACCATTCAAGAATACACGGAAATTGTTCTGAGGAGTGGAATATAGGGCTTTTATAGCTCTGTGTATCCTTTCCTTGGATCCTGAGAACAGATCAAGAGGATCATATTCACTCAGTTCCGATACCTGCGGTATATATCATGAATGTGCATATTAGATTGAGCAACAAACATTAAAAGATATATCACGGTGAAAGATGTCCAATCAAGACGGTTTTATAAAATGGTTTTTAATTGCTCGTCTCTTGCTTTTACCTCATTATCGTGCAGCTTCAAGATTTGGTGCATTTTGAAACGGGTTACACTTCTTTTGACCGTGTTTCCTTCCCTTATAAACCTTGAAGTTGGAAGAAATCCACATTTTGGCTACTTCATGGAAGTAAGAACAGTCCAAACAAACTTCAGGTCAAGGATAAGAAAATAAACAAGCAAAGTGAAGAGAAAAGAAATATATGTACATAAAAGAAGAATACCTTTATCTCAACACTAATGCAGTCAACACAACTAGAAATCCCTGACACAGACAGAAAATCATGGAAACAACCATTAGATAACTACGAAGAATTTATCACGACAAGTAATAGAAAATGGAAAGAGAAAACCTAAAAATGAAATAATATGAAAGAAAACGAGATAAGACAACATGCCACGGATATCAGTTGCTAAGCTGACTCAAATATGACATTTAAGATGTAAAATACCGCGAGAGAAAAGGGAGTGATCATTCATAAGGATCACAGAATCATGACTCGTATCCACATTTGCTGCATTGACGCGCCAAAGAGGACGCTGCTTGGTTACTTTCTTATCAACAGATTCAAGGAATTCCTTGGACACAGAAACACGCATCTGCACGAAACACAAACCAATATTACCAACCACATTAGCATAATCATAAGCTCATTGAGATGGAAAATAACACAAAGATAAAGAACTCACTCCAGCATCAACATGCTTTGGACCCAAGAGAGGGCTCATCACATTCTTAACGAATCTTTGTTCAAGGACTTCCTTGCTCGGAGATGAAATGAGCTCCTTGTTCTCCCTCCATAGAAATTGCTCATCGCTTGTTAAAACTGCAGTGTCATTCCAACTCTTGTTTGTTTTGTCATTCTTACGAGCCTTCTGTATCCGCATCACTTTCCCTGAAGAGATATTTTGTCATTTCACTTAGATC